GCTGCTTGGGAGGCTGAGGCAGGAGACTCGCTTGAGCCCAGGTGTTGGAGGTTGCTGTGAGTGTGATGCCATGGCACTCTACCCAGGGGGACAGCTTGAGCCTCTGTCTCAAAAAAAAAAAGAATAAAGGACTAAACTGTGCATTTATGCTGTAACTTATAACCGCATAGTTACCTCTACTGCTTTTGGCTTCCATGTGTGTTGTAGTTACTGTGTCAGGCATTTCTCTGAAAGCCCCAGATTCTCATAGTTTTTGTCTGTCTGGGAAAGTATTTTGCCTGCCTTTTTGGAAAATAGCTTTGCTGGGTATGGACTCTTGGTTGCCCATTTTCTCTGAGCACTTTGAATATCTCATTGCACTGTGTCCGGCCTCTGTCTTTTCCACTGAGAAGTCAATTGCTGTTCTTACTGGAATTCCCTTCTGAGTGACAGTCATCTTGTGTCCTGTTTTTAAGATTGTCCCCCTGGCCTTTGCCGTCCAGCATCTTTACCATGAGGTGTCAGTTTGTGCACCCTGCATGTTTGTCTCCCTTGGAATGTGTTGAGCTTCCTGCATGTCTAGGTTTTTGTTGAGTGAATGTGAGTTGTTCTCAGCTGTTCTTTCTTCTGGTGCTGCTTTGCTCCTGGTTCTCTCCTCTCCTCTTAGCATCACTCAGTTCACATGCTCAGTGCTGTCCCATATTTCTCTGAGAGCTATGTTCATCTCTCCTCATTGTTTTTTCTCTGCTTTAACAGGGAATAATTTTATGTGAGTTTTTTTTTTGTTCTGGAGGGTTCTGACCACATGAAAAATACAGATTGACCCCAATCTTAAGGGAAGCACAAACCTATAGTTGTGAATTTCTAAAACATTTTACTCCAGACATCCCTAATCCATGTAGAGACTGGAACAAACTCCCTTCTCATATCCCTCTGAGGCCCCTTTAGCTCCTGTCCCCTCCCCAGTGTGTGTGTGTCTGCCTGGCCCTGAGGGTGCTGGCTTCTCAGCCCCCGCTTGTCTCTGGCTATGCCTGTTCCTCTTACTCTAGTCCTAGGTCAGATCAGTGCAGACTCTTGGACGCCACACTGGGTTGTGGGCAGACTCTGAGATGTCCAGCCCACTCCTCAGCTGCCCAGTACGGAAGGTGCCAGCTCCTCCCTGGTCACACAGACCTGTATGTGTGTGTGCTGCCCTCCAGGCCCAGGAGGGTGTGGGCTCCCCCCTGCTCACACAGACCATACACACGTGTGCTTATTGCAGGTCAAACATGTGTCGACATCAAGGACAACGTGGTGGATGAAGGATTCTACTTCACCCCCAAGGGGGACGACCCGTGCCTGAGCTGTACCTGCCACAGGGGGGAGCCTGAGATGTGTGTGGCCGCCCTCTGCGAGCGGCCCCAGGGCTGCCAGCAGTACCGAAAGGACCCCAAGGAATGCTGCAAGTTCATGTGCCTGGACCCAGGTGAGGCTCTTGCTGGTGGGGCACAGTAGGTCCCCATAAGGTCTGGAGGTAACTGTCCCTCTGCTTCACTGGTGATGGGGACTCGTGGGGACTTGTGGGGCTGTAGCTGGAGGTAACTCCCTCTGCCTCACTGGTGGCAGGGACTTGGGGGACTATGGCTTGGAGGTAACTCCCTCTGCCTCACTGGTGGCAGGGACTTGGGGGACTATGGCTTGGAGGTAACTCCCTCTGCCTCACTGGTGGCAGGGACTTGGGGGACTCAGGGGGCTCATGACATGTATGCAGCAGCAACAGCCTTGCTTGCTCTGAGCCGAGTCGGAGGCTTTGATGCCGTCACTGTAATAGGCATGCCTCATGGGACCCTCAAGGTGCTTCATCCCCATTCTCAAGTGGCAGCATTCACAAGTGGACTTGAACTTGAATGTAGCTGGCTGGCCACAAATTGGCTGGAACTGACAGTTTCGAAGCTGTTTTTGCCTCTCTTTAGGACTTGGAGCTAGACTTCTCATTTATGTTTGTGCTGAGCTCTTCCTGTTTTTTAGTATGATAATTTGGAGGGTTGTGACAGTTGGCATTGCTTATTTATTTTATTTATTTATTTATTTATTTTTTTATTGAATGGTAGTTGGCATTGCTTATAATCATCCATTCTCACTGTTAGATTTTTTTAAGGAAAAGACTGTTACCCTCAGTTTCAAGGTATGGACCCTCACCACGGTGTGGTGCTTATGGATGGACCCGACAGAGAATCTGGTCTGGGTGTGCAGTGGGAGGACCAGGCGGGGTCCCACAGCCCATCACACTCCCTGTGGCTTGCATCATCCTTCTGCTCACCAGTACAGCTGCTGGATCTGGTAGATTCAGATCTCAAGGGAAATATAAATTAGCAGCATGAATTTGCTTCTCTCTTGGGTGCCACAGCGTGAGAATAACGTGGCAAGGACTTACGGGAGCTCCTTGGCTCTTAGACCCTGCAGAAGAGCAGCTTGGTCAGAGTGTGGTGGCCGTCTTCTTCCCTGGGGCCCTGTGGAAGAGAGGTCTCCCAGCTCCTACTCTCCTCCTGGAGTTTATCCATGTCCCCCCTCACCAGACAGGCAGCGGGTAGAGCAGACTCGTCCTCCTGAGGCCGGGCAGCAGGCACTGAGGCGCGTGCACCATCAGACATGTGCAGCTGACTGCAGTGAGCGCAGAGGCCCATTTGCAGCCCAGCCCCCCCAGAGCACCCAGAGCTAGAGATAGGAGGCAGCATTGGGCCCCATCCCTCAGGGCAGAACGTTTTCTGCTTGTGTAGCATGTGTCCCTGTGGGGCTGTGAGAAACACTGATAAGCTGCTTACCAGGTCTCCTCTTCCCCCAGCTGCATTAGCCCAAATCTCCAGCACATTTACTATCTATGGGAGCTAAACTGTTCACAAGCCATGTCACCTGGATTCCGGGTTCCGTTACTTAGGAGTCTACAGTGCTGCCTTGCTTTTCTGTCCTGGCTTTGTAAGAAGGACCAGACATATACAAGGATAACCTGTCTGTGCATATGTGTACCCTAGGGAGCCTGCCCAGCCCCGGGGATTGCTCAGTAGAGTAGGGCCCTGGGTGTGTCTGGGCCGCCCACTCTCCTCTGCAGCCAGGGCAGCTTAGCCAGGACCCACTCTGCCCACACCGTGGCCACTCTTCTGTAGGCTCCTGGGAAGTGCCAAAATTCCATCAAGAGCCGAGATGCTGTCAAGGAAACTTTGGAAACACCTAGGGTCCAGAGATTAAGCTTCAGTGTATCCCTTTTAACAAGGCAAGAGTATCTGCTCTTGCCACACAGTTGTCATTATATTCAAGGTCAAAATCAGTGGCAGAAAGCAAGAAGAAATGAAAAGACATCAAGACAGAGGGGAGAATGACATGCAGGTGACGTGATTATGTGGAACATTCCAGAGAATCTACAGAGAGTCAGTAGGACTAGTAATTCAGATACGAGATCAAAATATAAACCCACTGTTCACACAGTGTACCTGTGATAGTTGGAGATTTAAATTTCAAGAAGGTACCACTTAGAATAGCAACAGAAACATGAAATAAGTTATAGAGCTTATAAAATATGTGTACATTAGGTCTGTTGCAAACTAAAATACTGTTGAAAAAAATCAAAGGCTTAACTAAAAGGAAAGATCACTGTGTTCCTGGATTGGGGGCCTCAGCATCACTAGGAGGTTAGTTCTTCCCAAATGACAGATTCAGTGCAATCCCAACAACAATTCTAACAGACATTGTCTATAGCCATTGACAAGCTGAATACAGAACTTACATGGAAAAGCAAAGGAGTTAGAATAGCCAAAATGGTTTCATAAAGAAGTTAGAGCATCAGTGCTTCCTGACTTAGGACTGACTATATAGCCCTGGTCCTCACATCAGTGTGGTGCCGGAGCAGAGCAGTCCTGAAACAGGCCACACTCTGGTCAAAAGCACGAGGGCAGTTCACCCGGACAAGACAGTCTTTCAACAGATGCTGCTGGGGTGGTTGGACAACCATATGCAGATCTCACGCTGTATTTAAAATGTGCTCTGAGTGTCACTCATCTACCTGTGAAACCGTAAACCATGAAACATCTAGAAGAAAACGGAAGAGAGGTCTTTGTGACTGCAGATAGGCAACATGCTTAACATCCTTGAAATTAAAAATTGATAAATTAAGACTTCATCAAAATGGAATTAAATGTTTGCTCTTTAGAAGATACCATTAAGGAAGTGAAAAGACAAGCACTGACGGAATTAAAAAACATCTGCAGAGTACAACTCAGACAGATGTGATGGTGGTCAGATGCCTGGAAAGATGCTCAGTGTCAGCCCATAAGGAAACAAACCCACACAGGGTGCCACATCTAACTGCAGGGCTGAAAGAGTAAAACCCACAACAGTAAGTGCTGGCCAGGGCACAGAGCAGCTGGGACTCAACTGCTCCCTGACCCTGTTGCACTATGCTTCACCTGACATGGGAAGGCTCTGAGATGCGGCTCCTGATGAGGCTGGGTGCTTGGCCGGTGCAGTTAGCGGGTGCTGGTGCTTCACCTGATGCAGTAAAGCTCTGACTTTACCAGGGCCAGGTGTTTAGCTGGTGCGGTTAGCAGGTGTTTAGCTGGTGCGGTTGGCAGTGCAGAGCCCATGTTGGGACTCAGGGCTGGGCCTTTTTCTGCTCCACCTGCTGTCTCTGACAGATTTTGAAACTGCTGCCACATAACCGAGCTCAGTGAGATGGGTGAGTTCCCTGTCTCTCTAGTTCTTCATGCTCAGGATGGGCAGCCACCTGGGGACCTGGTGGTCCCACCATCAGATTGAGGGTCAGGCCAGAAGGACTTCAGGGCAGCCTTACTACTAGCAGTGTCTACCCCAGCAGGACGCGTAGGGGAGATAGAAGCCTACCCTGTCTGCACTGCCCAGAACCCTGTGGAGGGACCAGCTGTGGTATAGGTCCCCGGGGACCTCTGGCTGCTGGGACAGGCTGCTTCAGGACTGACTGCAGGTGGCTTGGTTCTAAGAGAGGCTGCTTTTTGGTCCCTGTCATGGAGGAATAGCCGGGACCTTGACCATGTTCTTGGGTTTATTTTAAAACTGATTAAGAGTTAGTCATTGTGAAGGGGCTGCTTCCTGAGGAGCAGGATCTCTGAGCTGGCCTCCAGTTAAAAGACACACCACCAGCCCTGGGCAGATGGATTCTCCCACTGACCAGGATTAAGTGTCCCTGAGGCTGCAGGAGGCATCAAGAAAAGCGGCTAACTGGTGAGAGGACATTTCCTCCCATCTGCTTCCCAAGCGCTGTCAGCTACAGAACTCCTTCTGAACTTTAAAAATTTAAGGAGATTTTTGTGCTGCATTCTGGCCTGGGGAGGGGGCAGGGTGAGCTCTGCCTTGGTCTGGGGTGGGGTGGTCTGAGCAGCAGGCACAGCTCTTGGTTTCTGCTCACACAGTTGTGAAGTGTCTTGTTGAGCCTGCTTGGGGTGGGAGTGGCCAGCCCTGGCTCGTACTGAAGCTTAGCAGGGTCCCTGCCCTGTGAGGTCCTGCATCTAGGAACTGGTAGGTTACTCCTGCCCCTTAAGCCTCCCTGGCCTCCGCCCTCAGTCATCACTCCCTGGCTCCATCATGCTGTGACTGCATGCACGTCACCATCCTCATCTAGGTCAAGAGCTTGTGGAAATGCAGCTGCATCACAGGTGCTCGGCCAATACACCTGCCACTCACACCGGTGCCAGGCTCACCATCCCCTTCCCACTATACACAGCTCACAGTGAGCTCCTACCCTCAGCATGTGGTGTGCACCATGCCGGAGCTCAGTGTCTCCACCCTGGCACCAAGAATGTCAGGGTCAGATGCTGTGTGGTGGAGGCTGCTCTGTGCCCAGCAGGACCCTGAGCTGCATCCCTGAGCTCCACCGGCTAAATGCCAGTAGCACCTGCCCTCCTGGTGGTGACCACCAAAAAGACAGAGGGGCAGAAGAGGCACCACAGCTTGGACTCTTTAATTTCAGCATCCAGCCCAGCTGGACCTCAGCTCCATGGCGCCTCCCTGCACTCAACAGCCGAGCGGTGGAGCCAGGCCCGCCCAGCCCTCCTATGCATGGCACATGGGTGGGCCTGCGTGGCCGGGCAGGAAGCCTGGGGCCCAGCGGTGTGTGTGTGCGCTGCCAGGCTGTCCTGTGGCGTCAGGTGCTGCTCTACACATGCGTGCTGGGGCTGGGTGTCTCCTCTGCTGCAGCTTGTGGAAGGTTGAGGTGAAGCTGTCAGTCCTAACCAAGGCGGATATTCATTTATAAACTGGGGCCTGAGCTGACCAGTGATTGTGATCCTGTCCCTAGCCAGTGTTGGGCACTGTGGCTGCTCCCAGCCCCTGTACAGCCTCTAGCAGGGCCTCACGGTCCTCTCTCATCCATCAGTGAGTCATGGCATCCTCAAGCACATGTGCCCAGCTCTGCTCTCCTTCCTGTCTGTCACTGCCCTGTCCATTTCATTCTCTGATACCACATGCACCTCCTCACTGGCATCCTGAACTCCATACTCCTTCCCTGTGGTCTGTCCTCCCCACAACTGCCCCTGGCTAAGTTATGAGTGGATGTCACCTGCACTCCAGACCTGCCAGCCTCTCCTGTCTGTGGGCCCTGCCTGCCCAGTCTCCTCAAGGAGAAAGCAGCTGCCTGGTGTCCCTTGGCCGTTCTTACTGGGCACCTGAGCACCTTCCTCTGAACAGCCGCAGGCCCCAGGCAGAAGGCAGGCCTCCGAGGGCACTGCTGCCCTTTGCCCCTAGCCCTTGTCCCTCCTCGGTTGTCTGCACAGCACTGGGCATAACTAAAAATGCTGCTGTGTCATCTTTCACAGTGAGGCAGGGCAGTGACATCATGTCCTTGTGAGCAGGGAGGGCGGTTGGTGGCCTCATGCGCAGCCCAGCACCCAGAGCAGGGTTTGTGGCTTCTACGGGAGGGTCACTCTCCAGCTGGGCACACGGCTACTTCACACCATGCAGGCACAGCGGATGCCGCTTTCTTGATCAGGTAGCATAGGCGGGTGTGTGCACACACAGTGTCTGAGCCTGCAGCCCTTTGGAGGGCAGAGGACATGCCACGGGGGTGCTGCTGGACGCCTGTTTGCCCCTCTTCTCCTGGTGTCTTCTCATTATTCTTGATTTGGGGTAGCTTTGTGTCTCCACCCATCTTAGGAGATGTCAAGTGTGGGGAGACCAGGAACAAGTGTTCCGCATCCCCTCCTGTGGGCCCGGTGGGAGGTTGGCCCCCTCAGCAACAGCATCCTCATTCCCTGACAGATGGCAGCAGCCTTTTCGACTCCATGGCCAGTGGCATGCGCCTGGTGGTCAGCTGCGTCTCCTCCTTCCTCATCCTGTCGCTGCTGCTCTTCATGGTCCACCGGCTGCGCCAGCGGCGCCGAGAGCGCATTGAGTCCCTGATTGGAGCCAACTGTGAGTGCCTCCATGGGTCTCCAGCACCCCCCCCCCCGCAGGTCTCCACGTCTCCCTGTCCTAAGCTGTGTCCTCTTCTAGGTAGAACTGCCTGGCAGGAGGGGCAGGGCTCTCTCCCACGGATGGGGGCTGCCCAAGGTACCCCTTACCCACCACGTGCCTGCCCAGGCACCCCTAGGAAGCCGGAGACACAGGCCCTGACCCTGCATCCCCCATGCCCCATACAGGGAAGGTTAGCACTGCATTCAGACAGGATATCACCTCCTCCACTGGCCTGTACCCTGAGCATAGGCCACATTCAGGAAAGCAGCAGATACTGGTGGCCGTTAGGTAGCACAGAGTTTGTGGCTCGCCCTCCTCAACCTGAGTTCCTCAGCAGTGCACCAAGCCCAGTCAGAAGGCCCCTCCGCAGTAGCCCGTGCCCCTAGTCAGCCCTTGTCTCATGAGCTCCTGCTCCTAGGCAGGCCGGGGAGCTTGCCTGCTGCTGTAGGGCCCCAGTGCCGCCTGGGTGAAGGCCACATGTTGCTGGTCCTGGTTTCTCATTCATGGGGCCAGGAACGTTGTTGCCAAGAACCTCCTTACTCTCACCAAACCTGAGAGCTGGGGAGAGCAGTGGCAGTGGCAGACACATGTGAGCGAGGCAGGAGGGCCACATGGGGGTCCCATGGGCGCCAGATGCGTCTGACAGGTGGGCAGCTGGGCATAGGCACGTGGCGCTCAGGGACAGAGGGTCAGCCTCAAGACTGAGGACGGGGGATGGGGGGTGGTCAGAAGCCAGCTGGCCGCCTCCAAGTGACACCCATGTCATCCCCCCCCCTCCCCCAACGGCTCAGTGCACCACTTCAACCTGGGCCGCAGGATCCCTGGCTTTGACTACGCCCCAGACGGCTTCGGCACGGGCCTCACCCCACTGCACCTTTCTGACGATGGAGAAGGCGGGACCTTCCACTTCCACGACCCTCCGCCTCCTTACACAGCTTACAAGTACCCAGACATGGATCAGCCTGATGACCCGCCGCCGCCCTATGAGGCCTCCCTCAACCCGGACAGCATGTTCTATGACCCTGCAGGTGCTGCCCTGGGAGAGGGACACTCAGTGCCAAACGGTCTGGCACGTGGGACTGCAGCCTAGTGGCCCTTCCCAGCTTGGGACCACTTACTTCCTTCTGGTCTTTGTGGTTTTCCCTGTGAGGCTTTCCCCAGGGTTGTCTGTGCAGAGGCCTCCAGGGAGGTCTAGGACCCTCTTTCCTCCCATTTTTCCCCCTGTGAGTATCTGTTAGCTAGGTAGCCCTTGGAGTGAGCTGGGGAGCTGGGCCCTGGTGGTCACCAGGACAGGGCTGGCTCAAATCCAGGGCTGATCACTTGGGAGTGAAGACACATGTGCCACAGAGATGCCGTGGTGACAGTCGCTTGTCTGGAGGTGGCTCTGTGAGGTGGAAGGAGAGCACCGGCTCTGTGTCACCCATCTGACACTGGGGGTCATTCCTCACAGGGCTGTGAAGGACTAAGGGGAGGGTCAGGTGCTCCTCCCTCCTTTGCCTGGCCTGTCCCTGAGGTGGGCAGCCCAGCCTGACTCCCTGTGTGCTGTGCCCTCTGACACACCCATGGCACTGGCTCCTTGCACGTCCACCTGCCTGAGCAGAACAGGCACCGCGAGGCTGGCGCTGCTGCAGGGAAAGCCCTTAGTCCTGTTTGGTCAGCTGCAGCCACTCCTGTGTGGCCAGGCATGCAGGAAATATGGGTGCAACCCCTGCCCTTGGGAGGTAGGTCATCACAGTCTGCCCTAAAGGGGCCAGGGTAGGATCAGATGCCTGCAGGGGACTTTAGGGGAGAGCCGCATTGCTGAGGCCTCCTGTGTCCACTTTCAGAGGCAGCCTATGGTAATGAGGAGCAGGCCAAGCAGAGCGAGTGGCCCTCCAGCCGCAGACCCTCCCTTGGGTCGAGGCTCCTCATAGACACCTGTGCGGTTGGTAGGGCTGCCTGCTCTGACCCTGCCACCTGTGTCCTAGCCACAGCCCTGAGCTTATCTCCTGCCAAGCCCAGTTCAAGCCCCGCTAAGTCTGATGGGATTCCCTCTGATCCCCACCCCCCGACCCGCAGTTCTGGTGGCTCCACTGGTGTCCTCTCCAACTCACAGCATATGTTGTGTCTGCACCTTGTGCACCAGGCACCTTCAGAGCCGGTCCTGGGGGCTCCCTTCAGAGTCTGAAGTCCAGAAGAGCCCCGATGGGGATGTCAGGCAGGAGGAGATTTATACCATTTGGTCTGCCCCCTGCACCCCCTGTGTCAGGCCTGCACCTGCCTCTGACACCCCTCTGTCTCTTCTGGCAGATGACGATGCTTTTGAGCCTATGGAGGCCAGCCTGCCAAGCCCAGGGGATGGCGGCAGTGAAGGTTCATTGTCCCGGCGCCTGGATCAGCCTCTGCCCACTTCGGCAGCCTCTTTGGCAGACCTGGAAGATTCTGTTGACAGCAGCAGCGCCCTGCTCATGCCCCCCGACCCTGCCCAGAGTGGGGGTGCCCCTGCTACAGAGACATTGCCAGGAAGCAGCCGCCACAGCCGCAGCTCCCTCAGCACCATGGTGTAGATGGTTTGGTCCGTGCCCAGCAGGCTATGAGCATCTGTCTGCTATCAAAAACATCAGTCCCTGTGGGAAACCTGAAGGGCCCCAGCCTCAGCCTGGACCCCCCAGTCCACTGCTGCACCCCCACGAACAGGTGCTGCACAGCCCTGGAGTAAGGAGGGCTCCGCGCCCAGGGTCCCTGGGGCTCAGACTCCTTGCAGAGTTACGGGTTATTGTTGCTTGTGGCGGAAGACTGACAGTTTGTTCAGACCACATGCTATAGAGGCCAGGAACAAAGACCGTGGCCTGTGGCCAAACCGTGTCTGGTGGGCTTACACACTCTGGTGTGTGCCCAGAGACACCTGCCTGCCAGTTCCAGGCCCAGAACAAACTGAGCAGGGGCTGCCAGGGTGTGCTTGCCGGCCTCTGTCAAGAGGGCACCTTGGGACTGTGTGCTGTGGCAGTGGGTCTGCTTCAGGGCACACGGTCTACTCTGGAGATGGCCCCTGCAGCCCAGCTGTGAACATCAGGGTCACCCTGTCTGGAGCTGGGGCTGGTCTGGGGCTATTATTGCTCCTGAGCCCTGAGAAGAGGAGCTTTGGAAGGAGGTTGGACTCTCGGCTCTGTCTCTGCATCTGGGCTCCATGAAGCTCAGCTCTGTGGCAGGAGGCCATGTCTCCCACAGTGTCTCTGCAGTACTGTGCATGGCTCCCCCAGCAGCAGCCCTGGACACTGTGCTGGGGGCCAGGGACTGAGCCAGCTCCTGCCTCTGCACTCTGACACTCTGGGCCCCACCTCCTATTGAATTGCTTTTGGACCTGGCCTGCTCCTCCCTACCCTGTTTGTGCCATAAAGGGTCATTTCTGTGGGGCAGGTGGCTGAAACAACATTGGGGTTGTGTGCATCTTCTGAAAGCCTGTTCCTTGCACACCACCAAGCCCAGGGGCTGCATGTGCACCCCTCCCCCCCTTAGCGCTGGGTGCTGGGTGCCAGGTACCCTGCCTGGGGCCTGCTGCCTGCTCCTAGGCAGTGGTCCTTGAGGTTTGGAGATTAAGCAGGTTCTGTGCGATTTTTAGCACGTTGATATCTTTTCTACGTTGAATGTCTGGATCGTGTGTGCGTGCGTGGGTGTATGTGGCTGTGTGGCTGCGGTGATGGTGGTACAGGTTGGGGGTCTCCTGCTCCCCTGGGCCATCATGTCTGCCTCTGCCGCCCCTCTTCCTGTGTCTTACTCGCCGTCTTTCCAGACCAGCGAGGACAGCCAGAGAGGCTGAGGCATGTGGTGCTGTGGTGACAGGTTCTGCACAGTCCTCTGCTAGCCTGGTTTTTCCACCCCTTGTGGAATGACAATCTAGAGCTCTCCTTGGGCTTGGCCAGCCGATCCTGGAGGCTGTGCCAGGCAGGCCTGCACTCCCTTACTGAAGGGACACTATTTTGTCCATAGTTGAATCCCAGCCACGGGGCTCACGTCAGCTGCTGAGGACAAAGCAGGAAGCAGGTCACGCTTCCCATGTGTCAGGCTCCAGAGCAACCGTCACAAGTGTCACTGGTGCCAGGTGACCAGCAGAGGTCCTGGAGGGACGCTGGCAGGCCTCAGAACCATGCTTACAGGGGATGGTAGCTGGCATGAGGTGTGTGGGACTCAGAAGCTACCTTTGGGGACCGAAAGACTGTTGGGGCCAATCAGGCATCCAGGAGGCAGTGAGGAAGAGGGCCCATGGAGGCTGCAGAGGGTGGGCTTGCTCTGGACTGTCAAGTTTTGGTCCGAGGGTGCTTATTTGGGTTGCCAGGTGGTGGTCTGGGGTCTGTCCTGTCTTTACCTACCATCCAGAACTTCACCCTTTGCAAGACTGGCCTTGGGGCAAGCTGCCTGAGGAGGAATCCTGAGGGGGCCCTTGCTGAGGCAGGTGTTCCTGGGAGCAGCCCCCCGCCCAGGGCTGCCTTCCCCTCTGTTCCTGAGACCAGCTGCCCTGACCTGCCACACAGGGTGGAATTGATGCTGTACATTGTCTCAATGCCTGTTTTTATGTTTTCCTTTCACTAAGGGTTTTTAGTTTGGGTTTATTTTTGGTTGGGTTGGCACTAATTCTTAAGATGCTGTGAGAATTGTTTCATCCAAATGCCAAATAAACTTGTGTTCTGGAAGAGGCATGATCCGTCCTTGGTGTGATCTGCCCCCACCTGTAGTTGCCACAGGCTGAGGCGGGAGTAGCTGGAACCTTGCAGCAGGACCTCTGGGGTTTGTAGCCCACAGGTACCCAGCAGACCCCTGAGCTCCTGATGTCTGAGCTGCCTTCCATTGCATCCCTGTCCTGGCACCAAAACCTGGGCAGCAGCTGCCTCCTTTCCCCAAAGTGCAAAGAGCCTGACTGGCAATTGGAAAGGGTTGCAGGGTACAAAAGTGACCCCTCCTGCAAGGATCCATCTTGGGCCCAGATCCACAGGGGACACTGGTTAGGAGGGAGGCATTGGCCTTGAGCCCACGGCAGGTGAGAGACGTTTCCTCCTAATCTGCCACCCAGGTCAGGGGCACTGGGGTCCAAGGTGCCCTTTCTCTCTGAACTTTCTTTCTTATGGCTTTGGCATGTTACTCCTGGTTCCAGCCTCTTGTTTTCAGAACTGTAAATGGGAATATTAATAGGATAGCCCCTTCTCAGGGTTAGTGCCAGTGATTGTTGCTGACACACAGCCGCAGCCCTGAATCAGCGCACACCCTTGTGTACACTCACGGCCCTAAATCAACGGATACCCATGTGCACACCCACAGCCCTGAATCAGCCCACACCCATGTGCACACCCACAGCCCTGAATCAGCCCACACCCAAGTGCACACCCACAGCCCTGAATCAGCCCACACCCATGTGCACACCCACAGCCCTGAATCAGCCCACACCCATGTGCACACCCACAGCCCTGAATCAACACACACCCAGTGTGTCACACCCATAGCCCTGAATCAGCCCACACCAAGTGTGTCACACCCACAGCCCTGAATCAGCACACACCCAGTGTGTCACACCCACAGCCCTGAATCAGCACACACCCAGTGTGTCACACCCACAGCCCCGAATCAGCCCACACCATGTGCACACCCGCAGCCCTGAATCAGCCCACACCCATGTGCATACCCACAGCCCTGAATCAGCCCATATCCAGTGTGTCACAATCGGAGCCCTGAATCAGCACACACCCTGTGAATTTGGAGTTCTGGCCTTTCATAGTAGCTCTGCATGGTTGCTGCCCTCTGGGACCCTTTGCCAGATACCCAACTCCCCCAAGAGCCCACAGCACTCAGCCGTGCCCCCAGCCCACCCCATCAATGACTATGTAGCAGCCTGGCTAGCAGCCCACTCTGTGGTCTTCAGCCATTTTCTAGGCCTTCCCAGATGCTGCACTGTGCAGGCCCGGGCCCTGTGCTTCCTTTCCTTCACGCAGCCCGTGGTGCTCACAGACTCCACCCATCTGCTCTCCAATCTCCTGCCTCTTGCTGTTCTCTGCTACCTCCTAGCTTCTGCCACTGGGTGAGGGGAGATACTGGGGCTGGGGTGACAGCAGCCTAAACCTTGTTCCCCATCTAGGAGCTCAGCTGGGTGGGGCTTGGAGAGGACCCAGATGGCCAGTCTCTCAGCTCAGTCCCCTGCCCCTGTTTGCAGGTGCCTGATGCTGTGACTCTCAGGATCCAAAGTGTGGTGAGGATGGAGGTGTCCTGGGGCCACCAGAGCATATGTTAGTAGTGCGAGAGTGGCTTAGAGACAGTCCGCCATATGCTGCCTGTGTCACTGCAGGTTGCTGTTCCTAGTCCTGTGCCCGGTGCAACATGTGAGTGACCATCGCTCTGCGTGTGTCCAGGCCTGTTCGGACCAGTCCTGCTCTCATCAGCTGGTGTCTGTGAGTTGTGAGCACATGGTGGAGGTCCCCGGTGTGGACGTGCGCCCATGTGGTAGGAACCTGCCCCCATTTCCCTCTGGGCGCTCTGCCTGCAGCCTGGGCGGGAGGGGAGAGGGGCACTGTGAGCTGTCCAGGTGTGTGAGGGCAGCAGGGGGCAATTTTCTGGGGCTAGGCTATTCCCTAGGTATGCAGGGCCACCCTCCTCTCTGCACCCCCAGGCTGCCAGCTGCTACAGAACCCAGACCTTGTTCCCTCAGGCCCCAGTCACTGGAAATATAGCCCCTGCCCGTGGGGGCCCAGCCAACTGCCTCATCAACATCTACCTTAACCTAGTCCAGTGGGACGCCCTCTTGGACCTTCATCTTCCAAGGCTACAATGTGGCAGCTGTAGGCCCATGGGCCCTGGGGGGATGATGGCCATACAGGTCAGCACCTGGGGCAGGAAGCCTGCACAGGGTATGGTGATGCCCACATGTACATATGGATCAGGACTCCCCCCCCCAACGAAAAAGCTGAGACACCAAGCAGGGGTAGAGAACCCCCTATAGGAGTCAAAAGCCTCCACAGTAAAGCCACCAACCGTGTTAACCTCTACATGAGAATGGGAACCCCTCATGGGAACCAAAGTCTCCACATAGGAGGAGCTTCTGCCTAGAGCAGTCACCACACACCCTCCCCTGGGGGTGTCAGGACCCTCCCCACCAGCCATCACCCCTGAAGACGAGGGGCCAGAACACACAGAAGGCAGAGGTTCAGCACACACCAGAAAGCCCAGGGTGCCCAGAGAGCAGTCAACCCTCCACGTACACACATAGCAGGCCATGACCCCCCAGCAGGGTGCCCTCTGTGCCACTCCCTAGCCTTGCTGGCTGGGGGGTTCTGCTGCAGTTTATGGAGCCCCGTGGTGCTGACCCAGGGGAGCACTGAGCACTGAGCCCATACCGCTTTAGGGAGATGGTGGGACCCTGCTGGGGCAGACTTGCACCTTGTGCTATCACAGGAGGCAGGGTAGAGGGTGTGATGTGGTCCCTCGCTGTCACTGGAACTCTTCGTAGACCCTAGTCTTCAGAGCTGCTGTCACTTGCCTACCCAGTGCTGCTGCTGCCCTTCCACTGGGGGGCCCAGAGAGCGGGCTGAGAGCACAGCCTGAACAAGGCAGCTTCACTCCATTGAGGGAGCTGGGCATGAGGTGGGGTGGCCAACACAGTAAAGGGAGCATGGCCAGGCCAGCAAGGTCTGTGCCTCCCCAAGATACACATGGTCCACAAGAACACAAGATACCAGAGCATGAAGGAGGTTTGATGGCACCCTGACGGGGTTGCTGGAAGCCAGGGGCATCAGGGCACAGGAAGGTGGGCCGCAGTCCCCCATGCCCTTCCTTGCCACGGGATCTCGGTGACCCTGATATCTGTTTTCCTCCTGACCTTACTACCTCTGGGAACCTTGTGGCTCTCAAGCTATGATTGCAACTTGGGGTCACTGACCATGCCAGGCTGCCAGGCCCCTGAGCTCTGGCAGGTCTTGGTGGAGCCACCTGCCCCTCCCCTGGCCACAGTGCCCCACCCCCTTATGCCACGCACCCTCAGGTGACCCAGTTCCAGATGGTGTCCCAGGCTGGACTCCCAGTTTGCACCCGTGCCACTTGTGGGTAACTTCCACCTGCAGCAGCCTCTTGAGGGATACAGGGTCTGGGGCTCTCCGGGAGCCTCCATCAGTGCAGCAGCCTCACCTGTACCCTCACCCTGGCTGGGGTGCACAGGGCTCCACTGTGCTCAGGCAAGGCCCAAGATCCAGGCATGACTCCTCTCAAAACAACTGATACCCAGAATGACCCCGGCCTAATGTGGCTGGGGGAGAGAGGCCTGGGGACAGCCTGCCTCCTCTCCCAAGTGTGGTGATTGCTGCCCCAACCCCACTGATGCCTCAGCATGCCTGTCTGGAGGGCTGAGTGACCCTACCCCACCAGAGCCAGTCCCCAGCTCCCCTTCCCGGTCCAGAACCCCAGACCTCCCCTAGATCCTTCTCAGAGGGAGAAGGGAGTCCCATCCCCGTCCCATACAGTATATCTGCATCCCCTGGTCAGAAGGAAGAAGAGCTGGCAGGTCGTAGAAACACTGCCATTAGCCCAAGAGTTATGTATTTTATTTAAAAAATCAACTGGCAACTAACCTAGGCATTTCCTCTAGGCTCTGCTGCAGGCCCCTGGGCCGGTGGGTGCTGGGGACAGCAGACAGCTGCTAGTGAAGGGCCAGCTGTCTGTTGTGAAAGCAGGCGACTCCCTCAGAAGTAAGGCTGTGGACTCTGAGTGTAGGTCACTCTTTCTGGAGAGACCCCGGTGTCCTGATGACTAAGTGAAGGAGTAAGTGTCTTTGGTGCCACTGTCCAAAGCAAAGATGAGTCCAAGGGACGCTGACTAGGTTCTGTATCCGGCGATGCTGTCCAGGGAAGTGGACCAACTGTTAGTAGAGGCTGACCAGCGTCGGGCCTGTCCAGGGGACACCGTGTGGAATGTGGCTATATAGTGGGGTGATACCGTCCAGCTGACATTGTCTCAGACGCCCACTTGCCACTAAGGTCCATTCTAGAGCACGGAGGCCCTGTCTCCTTCCTAAGATCTTTAAAGACCTTTAAGGACTTTCAAAGAACTTTTAAGGAAACTGCAATAGTCTCCCTCAGACAGAGGAATCCCTCTGAGATCCCTGGCTCTCCCCGCTGCCCTACAGGAGGTTGACAGGCTCCTGCCCCCTAACTTTTCCCAGCCCTGAAGACAAAAGGGGTCCACAGCCTTCTCCGTCTGCCGCCCACTTCCCAGATAACCCGAGTACTAGCTGGAGGCTCCCCGGGACACTTCTCGCTTTGAGCCACGCTGCACGAGGGTCGATCCATCTACTTGCCCTGTCTCCGGGATTCCAGAGCCTCTCTGGTCAGCGGCGACTCCTCCAGCACTTCGCCCGGGCAGTCCTAGGAGCGGCCTCCCTCAGTCCCCGCCGGCTTGCGGGGGCCCGGGCGGCACCGGAGTCTTCTTGTGGTTCTTCCGCATCGGAACTTGGTTCGCGCCTGCGTCGTTGGGGCTGATGCCGGTGTCCTCGGAGGACCTGGAGGCCGAGACCAGGGCGCTCACGGTGCCGAGCGTCCGCAGCAGGGCCGGGGCGCGGGGGCCGGCGCGGGGCTCGCGGCGGGCAGGTGGAGGCGGCTGGGGCGGCAGCAGCGCGCGCAGAGCGTCCAGCTCGGCCCGCAGCTCCGCGCGCAGCGCCTGG